GCTCTGTGCTGCTGGGCCCAGCCTGCGAGGCCCGGAGCCTGTGGCTACAGTACAGAGCGCCTGGCCCCTGGACCACCCCCCTGAGACACAGGGAGGGCTACTTCCGTCCTTCCACCCCACTCAAGGACCTGGCCTGCAGGGCTACTTGCCCCTTCAGATCCTGGCTCCACTCCCCACTATCCGTGCAGCCCCAGGCAGTGACAAAGCCTCATCAGCCTCAGTGTCCTGTCTGTGAGGGGATAGATAAGCGCCCACTCCCAGGGTGCTGGTGCCGACCCCCAAGCTCGGGAAGAACAGGAGTGAGGGTGCAGGGGTGTGGGGAGATGCCCAAGGCTGAGCCTGGGCCTGGGGACTTGGCAGGCACCGGGGAGGTGAGAGAAGAGGGAGCAGCAGCTCTGGTCACCATTCCTGTGCCCAGGTCACGGCCACCTTTAAGAAGTCCCTCTGCAGGGGACCGGGGTCATCTCGTGTTTATGGGGTGTGACATCCTTTCTGCAGTCGGGTGCTCCGCGGGGCTCACTGCAGGCCAGGCAGCTGCAGGCAGATGATGTCCCTGGCAGCCTTGCCCACAGTCCCTGGGGGTGAGCTCCGGGAGGCGGTGGCCTCTCCTGTGTGGCCTCTCCTGTGTGCCCTCTCCTGTGTGCCCCGCTGCTGACAGAGGGCCAGCCTGCCGGAGGACGCTGGCTGCAGTGCCCCTGGAGGCCTGGCAGGTGAGTGAGAGGCTGTCTCTGGGTGCAGTGGGCCCTGCAGGTGTCCGGGGCAGGCTGGCTTTGTGTTCTGCTGCCCTCCGCGGGCAGTTATTGAGCATGGTGTGGGCGGTGTCTGGGGGGAGGCTCCCGGGTTTGCAGGGGTTGCATGCCTGGGCGTGAGACAGGGCAAAGGCGTCACCCTGGTTGTCACCCTGCAGCTTCTAGATGTTTCCTTGGAGCCGAGGCTGTTGCCCGACAGAGCTGCCTCTGCGTTTGGCCCCTGGGGCTGTGTGGACAGGAGGCTTGTGGACTCCCCTGGGATTCAGAGCAGCCAGACCAGCAGGGGCAGGAGGGCGTCCCCTGGTGCTGGTTCCCAGGTCTGGCCTGCAAGCCTGCTGGCATGGGGTGCGAGACCCCAGAAGGCCTGGAGTTTCCTGCCCCTGGGCACCTCTGCCAGGCGTGTGGCCCACAGCCCTCCCCACTACAGGAGATTGTGCCGTCCTTGGTGGGCGCTGGGGTGGGGGCAGGTGGGACTGGCCCGGGCTCCACTGATGGCAGCCGCCTTCTCTTCAAGTTGGACCCGCCTTAGACTCTGGGAAAACAGGTGCCTGGGGAGGGAGGGAGCGGCAGGTGGGCCTGAGAGCAGAACGGGAACCTACAGAGAGACCCTGTCAAAATCTGCACCGGCACCTCTGGCTGGTCACCACCCGAGACGCCCTTGCTGGGAGGTGACAGGCTGCTTGCAGGGACGGGGCTTGGCAGCACGTCGGGCCTGAGTGTTGGCACGTGAGCCTCAGCTGTCCTCTGCCCCGTCAGCTGGCTGGTGTGGTCCAGCTCTGTGGTCCAGCTCCGCTAGAGATGCCTCCTGCCCCTCCGCCACCCCTCAGGTGTAGTTCCAGGCGTTTATTCTCAGCCTCGTGCAGCCATCACCTCTGTCTACTTCTAGAATTTTCTCACCTCATATTCCATACTCAGAAAGTACCTCCCTCCCCCCAGCCGCTGGCAACGTGAATCTGCTTTCCATCTTTCGAGTCACCCGTGGGGGACGATTTGTGTGCGTGGAGGGACGAGCCACGCAGCTTGGTTATTTCCACCGAGAGTGGTGTCTCTGGGGCCACCCAGGTGTGGCACTGGCCAGTGCTCTCTTCCTCTCTGTGGCTGGGGAAGCTCCATTGCAGGGATTTGCCACATGTCATTGATCCATGGAGGGGCACTCACCCACTGAGCCGCACCGCAGCCCTTTTATTTTTACTTTGAAACAGGGTCTTGCTAAGTTGCTGAGGCTGGCCTCAAGCTTGCGATCCTCTGTCTCAGCCTCCAGAGTTGCTGGGATCACAGGCGTGTGTCACGGTGCTGGGCTAGATGTTTCTTGGGTAATTGCTTTGTGCTCCTCCCTGGTCTGAGGGTTGGGGATACCCCTGAATGAGCCACAGCCTTGGGCTTCCAGGAGCTTGGAGATGACGGGTATTGGGAAACGTGCAGCCTGCTCCCCAGGCCTAGGGTCGTGGTCTGTTTGGGGACTGGGTATCCAACATGCATCACGGAGGGAATGTGAGCTTTCAGGGTGATGGACTCAGTCCAGGCCTCTTTGGCCTGACCATTTCCAGTGGTGTTTTGGGGGTGGGGGACGCCTCCCCAGTTTGTAAAAGAGGGCTGGGCTAGGATTTGGCGCTGGCCAGTTTAGTTGTCGTGGGAGGCATGTAGCTATTTAAATTAGTTAAATTAAAAAGCAGTTCCTCGTCGGACTTGCCATTTGCAGGGCTAGAAGTCACGTGTGAACACACTGTGGCAGAGCCTCAAAAATTAAAAATAGAGCTGCCGTGGGAGCCAGCAGCTCTACCCCACTGCTGGGCGCGGACCCAGGAGAGTCGGAGCAGCGTGCCCAAGAGCCGTCTGCCACAGCGTGGTGCCCAGCGGCAGCTCTGATGGSCACATGGAATGCGGTCTGTACATATGAAGAACATCATGTGGCCCCAGAAAGGAAGGGGATTTCTGCATGTGCTGCAGCGTGGGTGCACATTGAGGGTGTTGTGCAGTGACACAGGCCCATTTCAAAGGACACAAAGTACTGTGCGATTTCCACTGACCCAGGCTCCCTAGAGCCGTCACATTTGTAGAGACAAGAGAGAGGGGTGGGGGTCCAGGGGCTGCGGGAGTGGGGAGCTGTTCTCCCATGGACACAGGGTCTTGTTGAGGTTAGTTGCTCTCGACACTGGTTAGGATGGCAGACTTCTAAGTCGTGGCTCCGTATTGCCTGGGGTTGTACCAGGTGGGTCCAGAGTGGTGGTGAGCACGGGCCATGGGTGGGTGGACTCTGTCCCCGTCCAGCCGCTGCAGCACCCCAAGAGCGAGGGTGCTGTTCCTGGAGTGTCCCAGGGCCAGCGTTTCCTGCCTCCCCTGCGCCCCCCTAGCCAGGCAGGTGTGGGGGAGGGGCCTCCTGGGCGCCTCTGGCGGAGGATGCCTCCTGGGAGGGGGCTGCAGGAACGTGCAGGCCAGAGGCTTCCCCAAGAGAGCGAGGCTGGGGCTCTTTCTTGCTTTTATTATTATTTCTCAGCAGGACCCTGGTGGGCAGGATGTTTGGCTTGGTCTGAATTTCTGCAGTGGACGTTGGTGCCTGTGGAGGGGGCCCGCTGGAGCCCGGGAGGACCCTTCCTCGCCGCAGCGGGAGAGTTCAGGGGGCACCCTCCCCCTGCGCACTGCCAGCGAGGGGGCCGTGGGGTGGGGGCTGGCCCCCGCCTGGGCAAAATGGCTCCCAGACCCACAGACAGATGGAAGCAATTTCGAGTCACGTGGGCGAGGCTGCACGGCTGCCCCACCAGGCAGGCCCCACGGCTGTCTCCAGGAAGCAGCCCAAAGCCACAGGTTCTGGGGCCAGATGCAGCGCTGAGTCTTTGTTTATTTAAAGATCCTGGAAGCCCAGGAGGACCTTTCTGAGCAGGGAGCAGAAGCCCCTGCTGGAAGCCTCCGGGCTTTTCCCTGGCCGGGGTGGGCACAGGCAGCCTGGCGCCTGGGGCTGGGGCAGCAGCCTGGCTCCAGGGGCTGCCTTTGTTGGGGATGGTGCTTGGGAATGGAGACGGTGGCCCTCGGCAGCTCCTGGCAGTCTGACATGCATTCTGCTCTTTCCTTGTGTCCTGGATTCCGTGAAGTCGATTATTGGGCCCAGCAGAGGCTGAGAGTCAGGGAAGGACCTGCGTGTGAGGATGACCGCTCACGCCCCCTTCCTGGACTGACTTGGGAAGCCACTCGTCCTCCGTCTCTTCCCCACCGTGGCCTGGGGAGGGTTGGGGAAGAGATGCTGGCCTCAGAGCTTGTAGCTGGGGACGTGGGGGCTCAGCCCAGTGGGTGAGGTTGGCTGAAGGACAGTTTAACCAAAGCCTGCTCATGTCCCTCGGTCCTGGAAGCCTGTCCCCTCTGTCTTCCCTGTGGCCACCCCTGGTCAGCGTCCTGGTGTCCTGGGGGAGGAGGCATCAGATGGGCCGTGTGGTCCTTTCCTTTGAGCCCAGGGTGCTCTGGAAAGAGCCGGGGGAGCTGGGCCTTCTCTGGGAAGAAGGACTGGGCAGATTGTCCTCCTCAGTGCCCTCAGGGGGTGGGCAGTCCCTGAACCAGCTCGGTCAGGGAAGGGGACCTAGGGCAGCCGGAGCTGGGTGCCAGGGCAGTGCTACGCAGTGGGTAGTGGGTGTCTCACCTGGTGGGCACCCCCCGCGCCTGCCCACCTGTGATGGGGTGTGTCTGGAGTGGACAGCCCTGCACGCTCCCGCTGGCTGTGAGCTCCTGGGGTGCCCAGTGACCACCTTCAGGCGTCCTCCCCGACCCCAGCCTCTGACCCACAGAATGGACTCTTACACAGAGAGGCCTGTCTGACCTGTGGGTGAGGAGCACCTGGGGCCAGGCACTACCTGGGTGGTCACCTGGGCCAGGTGGGGGCAGGCGCAGGCAGCCCTGGGCACTCTGCCGCCGCATCCCACCCCACCCCTGGGCTGCTGGTGGGTACCCAGAGTGGACACACCTTCACGAGGCCAGGCCAGGATGGAGCAATGCTGACCCTCTGTTGCCCAGAGGACCCCCAGGGGTCCCCAAGCCTGAGGCCAAGGAGAGGGGACCAAGTGCTTGCTGCCTGGCGCCTGACGGCAGGGGAGGCCCCATTTGGCACAGTGGGCACTGGGGGGGGTGCTGAATGCCAAGAGCTGGCTGTGGCCTGTGGGTGACACTGGGACAAGGGCTGGCCTCTTGAGTCTCGGTTTTCGTCTGAGAACAGGCCTGGGGGTGGGAGGCCTGGGGACACCCCAGCACCGACACCTCTGCTCTCCTCAGTCCCCGAGGCAGCTCCCGGCAGCGCTGGCAACATGGCCGACTCCTCCAGGGACGCTGCCCTCAAGCAGGCCGCAGCCACGCGGAACGAGAAGGCCCCCGTGGAGTTCGGCTACGTGGGCATCGACTCGATCCTGGAGCAGATGCGGAGGAAGGCCATGAAGCAGGGCTTCGAGTTCAACATCATGGTGGTGGGTGAGTCCCGCGCCCGCCCGTCGCCCCAGGCCCACGCGGGAACCCGCCAGCCCGCACGTGCGTCCCTCTGTAAAGTGGTGGCAGCTCTGGCCAGTGGCCTGTGTGCTCACGGGTGCCTGGGAGGAGGCCCCAGCTCCCGCCAGCTCCCTCCATTAAGAGCCCTGGTAAGAGGGGTAAGCAGTGGCTCTGGGGCCGTGACGTCCGCGTGCCTTCTGCTGCCTGTCCCCTGGCTGGAGGCTTCCCCGTGGCCTGACAGCCTGCCTGGGGAGTGGGGTGTGGGGGTGTCGCAGGGGGAGGTCACTGATCGGGGGACCCCAGCAGGGTGCAGGCTGGGTGTGATGGGCGGCCTCTTGTGCCTGAGGGCTTGGGGCTCCGTGGGGTCTCCCAGGAGCCCGTGGGGGTTGCCCGGCTTCTCAGGTGGGAACAAGCCCATCTCAGCACGGGGGCCCTGCTGCTTCATGGGGCAGCAGGAGGGGTCTGGGAAGTGCACCCCAAGCTCAGGCCTAACCAAGCACAAGTCTGGTGGGCTTCCCCTCTGCCCTGGGGAGCCACCTGCCCAGGTCTGTGTGCACCGGCCCCTACCTACCTCTGGGCCTTGGCATCTGTATTTGGTGAGGCCTCCCTGGACTCTCTCGGGGCCTGGGTGGCCACCTCAGGAAGGGACTCTGGCTGAGTTGACGAGGCCCTGGAGCCCGGCTGTGGGGGTTCACATGTCACTGGACACTCTGGGGAGGAGGAATTCCCGCCCACTTGGCAGGGACGCTGCAGGGTGCTGTGAGCCTGGCGTCCCTGTGTCCCGTGCTGGGAACCGTCTCCCCAGAGAGCCTGCCAACCTACCTCTGGTTCTCCTCCCAGGGCAGAGCGGCTTGGGGAAGTCCACCTTAATCAACACCCTCTTCAAATCCAAGATCAGCCGGAAGTCGGTGCAGCCCCCCTCCGAGGAGCGCATCCCCAAGACCATCGAGATCAAATCCATCACACACGGTCAGCACCGCAGCCTGGGCCCGGCAGCAGGGCCCCTTCCGCAGGGACTTGCTGTGACAGCCCTGGGCGTGTGGAGATGAGTGGTGTGGGATGAGTGGTGTGCACCCCTGCAGGCGGAGTGGGGGGTCACCCAGGTCACCACCAGCTTCCTTGCCTGAGGTCCATCTCCCCAGTGCCACCTTGTCTGCCACCACTGCCCACGGGGGACCCCGGGGTGACCAGGCAACCCGAGGGTCCTGGTCTCCCCTCTGAGCCTGGGGTGCTGTGTTCCTGCAGATATCGAGGAGAAGGGCGTCCGGATGAAGCTGACGGTAATCGACACGCCGGGCTTTGGGGACCACATCAATAACGAGAACTGGTGAGCCTCCCGGGGGGCAGTGAGGCCTGGGGTCTGAGAGCTGGGGAGCCGTTCTGGGAGTGGGCCCCGGGGTCAGAACCCTGAGGACTCTGTGGCCAGGTCGAGGGCTGGTCCCTTCGGGCCTGATGTGCCTATAACGCCCGTCCTGGGGTCTGAAAACTGCGGATCAGTCACCATGGGAATCTTGACCCCCCCCCCAGGTGAAAGGTCAGCATGGGCACGCTGGGCAGGGAGTTGTAAGATCAGGGTGCCCCACGTCCCCGGGTGTGACAGGAAGGTGGGGGTCCCTGACTGCCTGTCGGGGCCTGGAGAGGGTCCTGCGTGCTGACCTGGGTCTCCACGCAGCTGGCAGCCGATCATGAAGTTCATCAACGAACAGTACGAGAAGTACCTGCAGGAGGAGGTCAACATCAACCGGAAGAAGCGCATCCCGGACACGCGCGTCCACTGCTGCCTCTACTTCATCCCTGCCACAGGCCACTCGTACGTCCTGGTCATGCCCCATGAGCTGGGGTGGGTGCCCCAGGTCCCGTGGCCCCAGGGCTGCCCGCACGGTCTGTCCACCCTGCTGCCAGGCACAGAGGGGCCACGTCAGGGACCGTGATTGGCTGCTGGGATGTGAGGGGTCTGTGCCCTGTTCCTGGGGAGTTGAGCAGCTGATCCAGCTGTTTCAGGCTCTGGCTGGGACCCAGCTGGGCACTGGGCTTGGTCCCCGTCCCCTTACCAGCACCTATCCCAGGAGGCAGGGTGACCCTTGGCCATCTTTGCTCTGACTCAGGCCCCAAAGCTATCCCAGAACCTAGCGGTTGGTCTTGGCTAGAGCCACCTTGGTGAGGGCTGTTTCCTGCCGGTTCYGTCCCTACCAGAGGTCAGTGAGGCTGGGAAGCCCTGGGTGCTCTGCCAGGTCCCACTCCACCTCACAGACCTACGTCCTCAGCTTCTCTGACCGCCAGCCCCGGAACGTGGTGCATCCTGTTTCCTGACGGGTCGGGGTGAGGGGAAGAGGCCTGTTCTGGGACGCTGTGGGCAGCAGGAGCAGTGGAGGTGGCTTGTTGGCCAGGGAGAGCTGGGTTCTGAACCCCAATGGGGGGCCTGGGGTCCTCCTATCCACTGCAGCCAGCATCGTGGCTCTCTGGCTACTCCGGGCTCCCTCCCACACCCCCGTTTCCTGGTTGCAGGAAGACCTGGTGGGAGGGCAGCCAGCCTCAGCCTGGGGTCTGGTGGGAAAGCCCAGCCTGAGTCCCTGAGCCTAAGTCCCAGGAGCTGTCCCCTGGGGCCCAGCCTGAGTCCATCGGAAACAGGACTCTGCCCCCAGGGAGCAGCCTGGCAGGATTCCCCAGGACCCAGCATTGCCCCCTGCGGCAGAGCAGCTCAGCTGGRTCCCAGGGCAGCTGATCCAGCTGTTTCAGGCTCTGGCTGAGACCCAGAAGGGAGAGCTAAGGGTGCTTCTCTGGAGAAGACCCTCTGGACTGGGACCCTAGCTGGGCACTGGGCTTGGTCCCCGTCCCCTCACCAGCACCCATCCCAGGGGACAGGGGTGACCTTGGCCATCTTTGCTCTGACTCTGCCTGGATCCCTGCTCTGGCCTGACTGTGACTTATTACTGTGGGGGGGTCTGCTCCAGTGGGGACGTGACGCCCACTCCTCAGGGCTTGCCAGCCCCCACCTCCATCCATGCCTTTCCCCACCTGAGACCCAGGCTCACCAGGCCAGGTGCCCTGCGGAGCAGCCAGCCTCAGGGCTCAGAGCTGCTGGACGCTGGCTCCCATCCTCCCCCTTGTCCCCGCCAGGGAAACCCCTGGCCATCTGGGCAGGGGCAGCTCCTCCACGTGGACCTGTCCAGGGCAGCTGGGCTCTGGGAACCTCGTGGACGAGGTTGCTGGGAGCTGGCCTCACCCTCAGTGGTGCTGTCGGGGACCTGCCCTGCCCCTCCCGTGCCCTGCACTCACCACTTGGTCCTCATCAGTGTGGACCCACTGGACAGCCCCAGCTGGCAGTCCGTCAGCTCCTCCCCAGGCCTGGCGATGAGGCCTCCCTCAGTCCCCTGCCGCAGGGCAGCCGAGTCTCACCCGCTTCCTTCCGTCTTAGCCTCAGGCCCCTGGACATTGAGTTCATGAAGCGCCTAAGCAAGGTGGTCAACATCGTCCCCGTCATTGCCAAGGCCGACACACTGACCCTGGAGGAGAGGGTCTACTTCAAACAGCGGGTAGGACGCTCCGCCTCCACCTGGCCCCCTGCTTCTTGGGGACTGGTGTTCGAGGCAGGCTGTGGGCCTGGAAGAGGCCACCCCAGCCCAGGAGGCACACAGTCATGTTGAGGTGCCCGCGCGCCAGCCTGGTGCCTGGGGAGGCCCTCCAGTCTCATCCCCAGCTCCAAGGGCCTCCATCGGGGGCCAGGTGGGGTCTTCCAGCATGCCTAGGGAAGGACAGTTCACCATGCAGAGACGCAGCTCCTGGAGGGAAAGGGACCCGCGGCCAGGTGCACGTGGAGCTCAGGGTAGATGCGACAGCTGTTCCCTAGGACATTCTCCACTGCCCATCGCATGGCTGGCGCTGCGGTCTGGGGACAGACAGTTTAACACGGCAGATGCACCGGAGGTGGCTATGACCAGGGTTTTGGCAGGAGGGGCTCAGCGACCCTGAATTCTGAGCTGGTCAGGGGAGACACAGGACAATGAGTGACCCCAGGGCCCTTGRAGGTCCACAGAATCTCAGGGCAGGCAGGTCTGCAATACCCCTCTCCTACTCAGGAGGCCACAGAAGAGATGATCAGGGTCCCGCCCCCAGAGCCTGCCCTTCACCCTGAGCCAGGGGCAGCTGGCAGCATTGAGGTCACCATACCGGCTGGTGGGCACAGCTGGCTGCAGGGTGGCTCCAGCTTGCCCCTTGGTCCCCCAGATCACCGCAGACCTGCTGTCCAACGGCATCGACGTGTACCCCCAGAAGGAGTTTGACGAGGACTCGGAGGACAGGCTGGTGAACGAGAAGTTCCGGGTGAGTGCCTCAGCCGCGGCGCTGCGCCCAGGTCCCAGGGCTTGCCGGTGGGCATGCGGGGTGGGGAGGGTCTGCCCATCCAGGGGGCCTGGCCTGAGCCCTGGGGAACTGCCTTTTGGGCTGGGCGGGGAGGGGTCCAGGCCTCAGGACTGAGCTGGCCTCTCTGAGCAGGGGACCAACCCACCCGCCCCTCCCCCAGGAGATGATCCCGTTTGCCGTGGTGGGCAGTGACCAGGAGTACCAAGTCAATGGCAAGCGGATCCTCGGGAGGAAGACCAAGTGGGGCACCATCGAAGGTACTCCCCCTCCTGGGGCCCCGGGGGAGGGGGACAATGAGTCTCTGCACCCAGRACACGTGGCCCAGGGCCACTAAAGACCGCTGTCACTCTCCTTGGCCCACGCTGAGTGCAGGCTGGTACCTTTTGAAACCCTTTATTACCTCTTCAAAGACGTCTTCTGGACAAGGTCCACACACACGTTGGTCCTGTCTGGGGCACAGCAGCTCCTCGGGGGGTGGGCCTGGACACTTCTTTCCTCTCCTTTGTTCCTTCCATACTCCTCAGCATGGAGGAGGGAGGCCTGGCTTTGCCCAAAGGCCAGGAGAGAAGGGGCAGAAAGTCTCCTTGCTGTGAGTTTGGGCAAGTCCTCCATCCTCCAGAGCCTCGGTTTTCACCATCTATAAAGTGGTACCGTGTGCCCAGAATTTAGCAAATCAAACGTCCCACAGACCACTGGAGCTTTGCAGGGAGCCGTTGGTTTAAGAAACAGGTTATAGCCAGACACAGTGGCACATGCCTGTCATCCCAGCAGCTCCGGAGGCCGAGACAGGAGGTTGGAGAGTTCAAAGCCAGCCTCAGCAACATAGTGAGGCCCCGTCTCTAAATAAAATATAAAAAGGGCCGGGATGTGGTTTGGTGGTCAAGTGCCCCTGTGTTCAATCCTTGGTACCAAAAAGGAAAAAGGAAGAAACAAGTTATAACAGGTAGCAGGCACTGGTCCTTCAGGGTGCCGGTCCTTGTTTAATCCTTGGAGCCCTTGTCACGAGGTCCCTGCACCCACCCTCCTTTCAGGAGGGTCTGCAGCGAGGGTCCCAGCCCCGAAGGCAACTCCTCTGGCCAGGGGTTCTCGTCTGCAGGAGCTCATGGGGTAGCACCAGGCCTTTCTCAGGGTCAGCACCCCGAGAACCCTGTCTGCTTGCCCTGTCCTGCCCACCCATGCCCACGCGCCCCCCACCTGAGTGCCAGCCAGTCTGGGCATCTCTAGGGTCTGCACCACGGGCTGGACCTGGTTTTCTCCCCCACTCCAGGGGAGTGGTCAGGTATTTGGGGGGCAGCTTTGGGGGGCCATCAGAACTAGGAGGCTCTGTCAGGCTTTTCCCTGGACCTCCCCTAGGCCCCTCCTCCACTTCCTCCCTTCCTCCCTGCCCACCCCCCAAACCTAGCTCCAGGAACCCTTTTACGAAAATCATGTTTTAGAGAACAGAGACGCTGGGGATCAAAAGGAGCCTTTGGGGACCTGGGAGGGGACTCTGGACATAGGCGTTCTGCTGCTGCCCCCTGGTGGCCAGCACCAGGCACTTCAGGCAGCTGCATGTCAAGACTCAGCTGAGGGACCCTCTCAGCAGCAGCCCTTCGGCACCTGTCAAGATGCTTATAGGGTAGCGATTCTCAAGCCACCCGGCTTTTATGAAGACCCTAGAGACTTCCCCAGAACATCATGGGTCCAGACCAGAGACCTTGTGAGTTGACCAGAGAACCTGCTGCTGGGTGCACCCCTGCAGGTGTGGTCACGAGGTGGTTTTTCCTGGAAGAGGAAGTGGGTTTGCAGATCACACCATGAGCTCATTTGGTCCTCGCATCTCTGAGAAGTGTGTGACACTGCTATCCCACTTTACAGATGAGGACACAGGGTCAGGGAGAGCAGAATCACAAGCCCAAGCCAGGAAACCGATCACACAGATCGGACCCGAGCTCCGGTTCCTGCCAGCTCTCAGACCCGGGAAACCAGGCTGCATGCCTCCCGTGGGGCCTGCCACAGAGCCTCCCGTGGGGCCCAGCCCTGCAGGGATGGGGTCCGGGGGGACGGCTCTTCACAGCCTGGGCCCCGCCTGCTGGCTCATCAGGCAAAACCCAGACTGTCAGCAGGGGAAGTCCTACTGCTCTGTGACCTCATCCAGGCAGACTCGAGTCCCGCCTTCCCGGGCCTGCCTTCGTGGCTACAGAAGAGGACCTTAGCTGGGCCTGCAGGGCCTGAGGAGACTGCATTGGCCACCCAGGGAGAGTAGCTTCCCTAGTCCCTCCACCAGTGCCACGCAGCCCCCACCCCTGATGACGTCACACACACCTGGCAGTGTGTGAGTTAGCCACAGCCATGAGAGGCACCTCGCTGCCGCCCACAGCGCTCCACCTGCACCAGCGTGCTCAGGGGAGCCCACAGACATGCATGTCGCCCCTGGTGGCCCCAGAAGTGAGCCCCAGCTGTGCTCACCCCTCCCCTGGGGTCCCCTTGGTCATGTCCCCTGTGCAGGAGTCCCAGGCAGTGTCTCATTTTGTTGTGCCGTTCCTGAGTTCCTGTACGGAGGGTGGCCACTGTCACAGTCTGTGTGTGCGGGCACTCGGTGCCCACTCTGTGCCTCTGTAGCTGGGGTCCGGGTTTCCTTGAAAAGCGCCCAACTCCCACCTCATCCCGCTCCCTGCACTCTAGCCCCCACCTGCCTTTAGGCTGGTGCGGGGACATCCAGCTCTTCCCAGCCATCTCCCTGGCCACCCAGGGAGCAGGGGCCTCCTATGGCTCTTGACCTGGTGGCAGGGCCATCTCCCTAATAGGCTGGACCTTCTGGGGAGCAGGGGCTGAGTTCTTCCTGCCGCCCACATCCCAGGTGCTGGGGTCAGTGCCGGGTGCTGCAGGTGCCCAGGACTCCCCCTCCCGCCCCTGTGCAGCTCCAGCCGACTGTCCGCAGAAGCTGCTCCTGGCAGCATTACTGGGTGGGGGGAGGGGGTGTCCTGCGTGACGCTGAAGCCCCGTCTCTCCCCAGTCGAGAACACCACGCACTGTGAGTTTGCCTACCTGCGGGACCTGCTCATCAGGTGAGAGCCGGGTGCCTGGTGGGCAGCAGCAGCTTGGGGAGGGAAGCATGCTCAGGGCACCAGGTGGCAGGCCCAGGGGACCCGTGGAGCGCCCAGCCATCGGGGTGGGGTGGGCAGGGGAGGCGGCCGCTGACCCCGCTCCCCGCAGGACGCACATGCAGAACATCAAGGACATCACCAGCAGCATCCACTTCGAAGCCTACCGCGTGAAGCGCCTCAGCGAGGGCAGCAGCACCCTGGCCAACGGGCTYGAGAAGGAGCCGGACGCTGAGGAGATGTAGACGCCCCCGGGACCCACCCGAGTCCCCCACGCCCCAGGCCCGCCCACTCACCCGTCTTTTTTCATATCATTCTCTCCATTTGTCACCCGTCTCCGCCCCTTTGACACACTGCCGGGTCACCCCATGTGCTCTGCACCAGCCCGAGGCCTCCGGGCACTTGGCTGGACCTCGGTCTGGTCCTGGGCCCGGGCCAGCCTCTGGCCTTCCTGAGGGCTGGGAGGGCTGGGYAGTGGGCAGAAGGGAGGGCCCCCCGGATCCAACCCCCCGCCCAGGTCCAGCTCCCGGGGGCCAGGAGAGCCACTGTCTGCCCCCTGCGCAGAGCCTGCAGAGCTGGGGGGTCTGTGCTTGGGCCAGGTCCAGGATGCAGGGATGACCACTGGGCCATACTCTGTCCCAGTGGCCATGTCCCCTGGCCCCTGTCGGAGGCTGTACCCAGGGGAGGACAGAGCCAGCAGGTGGACCTGGAGCCCCTCCTGCCCCCTACATGTCATGGGACGTGACTCAGCACCCCGCCTGCCCCTGCTCCCGAGGGGAGACTAGAGAGTTCCACAGCCCAGCTTGCCCACTGCTCAGAGGTGGCAAGTCCCCGGCTGCCCCTGCCCGCCCATGAGCCCGGAGCAGAAAGTGCCTTATCTCGGCGTCCCTGTGTGTCCCCTCTCCTCCCTTTGCCTRTGGGTGCTGCAGTGCGATCTGGTGAGGATTAAAGGACGGAGGTACCTCCACCCTGAATTTTGGGCATGTCCCGCACTCTGGTGGAGGGGTGAGGGGCGAAGTGGGGGGCCACCCTGCGGGCGCAGGAGGTGCGTTTGCACCTGTGGAGTTCGGCTTGGCCCAGATGCTCCGGCTACGCTCAKGCCCCTCCTCCACCTTCACCAGCTTTGCTCCTGCTCAGCCCTCACTGCCCCAGAGACCTGGGTACACGGGGGACCACAGAGCCTGGCTGCTGGTGGTCCTCCATGTTCCTGGGCCTCTGAACCCTAGAGTCCATTTTAAAGTCCCCAGAGAGGGAGAGACAAGGGGTCAGAGATACACAGAATACACCTAGGCTGCAGAGAAAGGCTTAACCGTGACACAGCCTGGTCCCCAAGAGGGGACTGGTAGGGACCATGCACAGCTGACCTTCTGCCTCCCATTCCAGGAGAAGACAAACCCTCTGCCCCACAGTTTACATGCCAACTACCGACTTGCCAAGTTTTTGCCAAAACCAAGACTTTGAAAGTGTGCAGCCCAGGGTCCAGGACGCAGGGCCCCGCCCCCCCTCCCCAGCCCCCACGTCGCCTGGGGGGTCAGCAGCATCCCGGGCTCCGGAAGGCTTTGCTTCCTCTCTCTGTAACCAGATTTTGAACCAGATTTTGCTGGGCTGTGTTCCGTAATGGCCTTTAGCTCTGTGCCTCCTGAGAAATTCGCCTCTTTGTATAAATAACAAAAGTGTTGAAATGTATTTCCTGAAATAAATGTTTCAAATGCAAACTCAGAGGCTCCGGAGTGGAAATGTCATTTCTACCCTGAGAGTGCCCTTCTCCCGGCCTCAGGACTGGCCGGGGTCCACTGCAGGTGGACGAGGGGCTCAGGCAAGAAAAGCCAGGCCAGACTGGAACCTGGAGCTGTGGTGGGGAGCATCCTACACAAGACTTGCTGGGAGTCGGGGTCACATCAAGGTGTCTCCTGGCGCGGTCTCAGTCACACAGGGCCAGGAAGGGGTAGGACTGAGAAGCTGTCCGCTGTGGAGGAAAGCAAATGGTGGGCCTTAAATCATCCRCCACCGGGGTCTGGAGGGTTTCTGCTGGGGAGGTCTGGAAAGTTTTTCTTTTTGAAATTTATGAGGTTAACCTAGCAGCTGGTCAGTGATCAGCAGTAATTTCATACCAACTTAACGTGTCCCGAGAGAGCCTGTCCCCACACAGTCCAGGCCTGGCCGGGCAAGCTTGTCTGTGTGCAAGGTGCGGGGACCGAGGCCCAAGGAATCTTGGCCCAGCAGCCCTGGTGTGGGCAGAGAGTCCTGTGTCTCAGTGCCCGGTGGCTGCTGTGACAAATGACCCCAGCCTGGGTGAGACTGTGGAAATGTATCCCAGAGTTCTCGGAAGGCTGAGCCCGAGGTGTCGGGGACGCTGCTCCTCCCAAGGCTCTAGGGGAGGCACCTCCCTGCCCTTCCAGCCCCTGAGGGCTGCGTCACCCTAGTCTCTGCCTCTGTCCTCACATGGCCTTCCCCAGCCTCTTCTGCAGCACCGTGGACTTGGGGTCCACCCTGATCTGTATAATCTGGTCTTTTGTTACATCTGCAAGGAATGAGGGTGCATTCCAAGGTTCTGAGTGGATGTGAATTTGGGGGGTTCTGTTCGACCCACTGCACCCGCTTCCCGCCATCTTGGGCAGTGCAGGAGAGGAGTGGGGAAGCCTTGAACTTGGACCTCAAGGGCTCCAGCCTCGCTCTGCCTCCACTCAGCTGCACAGGGGCCAGGCGGCCTCAGGATGCTCTTGGCCTCTCTGGCTCTGGCTCTTCAGGGGCCACCTGACCTCTGAAATCATCTCCAAATGAGTGGACGGGCAGTGGCCACATGGGGCTTTTGCTTCAAGGATTCTGAGGCGTCACTGGCTGCCAGCATCTGCTGTGGACATGGATAGCGGAGAGGGTCCGTCCACATGGTTGGGGGCCGCTAGCCCGGAGCCTCCATCTCCAAGGCCCTTCGAGCTGCCGTGGCTTTGCTCTTGGCGGGTCCTGCACCTTGAATCCCTCCTGGCTCCGGACTGACCTGTCCCCATTGCCATCACCACCATCAAGCAGCTCCTCTCCAGGGCCTCCTTACCAGGCCAGCATGCCCCAGCCACCTCAGTCCAGCTCTCTGACCGTGGACCCTTGTCATCTCATTGATGAAACTGCCCACCAGCTCTGCCCAGCCCACCCCACACCTCCCAGCCCAGTGGGTGCCCCCACCCCCACCCAACCAAGCAGAACCGCAGGTAGAGCTCACATCCCCCTACCCACCTTCCTTAAGCAGCCCGAGGGCCAGGCCAGGCTGTCACCAAGGTGGGACTCAGGGAGACCCGGAAGGCCCCAAGAAGGAGCCACCCCCCCTCAGGCTGGCTGGGGGACCTCTGTGGGAATGGGGAGGCCCACAGGGCAGCAGAGGCCGGGTTCCTCACTGCCTCCTCCCCCTGTTCTGAGCTGTTAGGTTTAGAGCCAGAAAATAAGGATAAACAGGCCCTTCCAGACCCAGCCTGGGGGATTCTGTAGCCCCGAGCTCAGGGGCCAGCGAGAGTCCATGGTGTGTGTAGTGGGGTGGGGGAGGGTCCTCCGGCCTGGGCAGGGAGCCAGATGGAAACCAGGAGAGCGCAGGCCGGCCGGCCGGGGGTCTGCTTTTGGATTTTTATTTATGGTTGCCCCCCTCCTTTTGTGGGTCTTGCTTTTTTGGTACTGGGGATCAAACCCAGGCCACTGAGCTACACCCCCACACCCCCAACCCTTTTAAATAATTTTGAGACAGGCTCTTACAAAGTTGTGGAGGGTCTCCTAAGTTGCCCGGGCTGGTCTCCAACTCGAGATCCTCCTGCCCCAGCTTCCTGAGTTGCTAGGTTATAGGTGTGGGCCCCCACACCCGGCATCCCCCTGCCCATTTTTAAACACTACGTTATGACCACAAAAGTAGCAGGGACAATGTGGAAAATGCCAGAAAAAAATATCCCATGAAGAAAATGGGAAGGGCCCTTGATGTGGGCGATGCCGTCCAGCCCTGGCCCTGGGCTGCGGCCCGGCCCCTCCTGGCATGGCAGGGTACTGTCTTCAGGGCTGGGAGGAACCGGTTCTGTGCATTGCTTTGCTTCCTGCTGGATCTGGTGTTGGGTGGACTTGGGGGTCTTGGGGGGTGGGGGCTGTCCATGGGAGGGAAGAGGCGGCGGCTGCTGGGAGGGAGGGAGAAAAGAAGACCGCTGCGGAGCTCCGGGCCAGACCTGGTGTCCAGCACCTGGAGGACGCCTCTCCTGCAGCCCAGGTGAGGCTCTCCAAGCAGGTGTCCTGGGGGCAGCTCAGAGGCCAGCCCCGTGAAGCGCCCCTCCCCCGCCCTCTGCTCCCCTCCTCGCAGCTCCCCACCCCCTGCCCCTTGCACCCCTGCGGCAGGAAGGAGGGGAGAGGCCCCACTGCTGGGCCAGCTCTGGTGTCCTGCTCTGGGATCTGTGCGGGGCCAGGCGCACTTCCTGTGTTGGAGCAGAAACACCTTCCAGATGTTTGTTCTGCCCCAAGATGCTGTCAGGAGGGGCCCGTGAAGCAGAGCCGGCGGTGCGGAGGCCCTGGCCCTGCGCCAGGACTCGGTCTTCACCCATTACATCACCTTCAGGTCTCTCCTTGCAGAGTCCCAGGTGGGCTGTGATGCCCGTCAATGCCAGGCACAACGGGCATCAGGACAGGCTTGGTCTGTCAGGGCGGGCGGGCCCCTAGACCCCCGGGGGCTACCCCCACCCAGCTCCCTGCTCTTTCCCAGCAGCTCAACGTGGAGGAAATGTCCTGGTGTCTCTCTGCCAGCTCTTGATGAAGCGTTTGAAAAAGAGACGCAAGAACAAAAACACAAGGCGGGTGCAGTGGTGCACGCCTGTGATTCCGGCGGCTCCGGAGGCTGAGGCAGGAGGACCACAGTTCAAARTCAGCCTCAGTAAAAGAGAGGTGCTGAGCCACTCAGTAAAATAAAAGTCAAAATAGGGCTGGGATGTGGCTCAGTGGGTGAGTGCCCCTGAGCAAAGTCCCCAGTACAAAAAATAAATAAATAAATAAAACAGAGTTAAAATTGTTTTAATTTTAAAAAAATTTTTTTGTGGCTGGGATGGAACCTAGGACCTAGGAAGTACTGTCCCACTGAGCCACCCCCAGCCCCGGCCCTGCCAATTAAAAAAAAAAATGCATTTGCAAACATTCTTTAGTTTTGTTTTCCTCAAATCAAGCTCACATTGTGCGTGTCCTTTGATACCCACCTGATCCTGTCCCTGTCATTTTTTATAAACAGGACTTCGTAGCCGGGCAGCACCCTGCCACAGAAGCCCACCTACGCCACTGCAGTGACGCCTTCTGCCCTCTTTGCTCCTGTCAGTCAGCCGCAGTTGGCGCCCAGTGGGGACCCTCAAGGCTGAGTCCCCGTCCCTTCTCGTGGTTGGGTGAGAGGCGGCTGGCACTTGCTGGGCAAACAAATGGGAAAGGAGCCGAAGCCACTGGGCTTGCCCAGAGTCCAAGCAGGGGGACAACAGGGGACAAGCGGGTGAGAAATCGGGCAAGACCCTCGTCTCTGGTCCCTGCTTCCTGCCTGCCCGTGAGCGAAGCCTCCTCCTTTGGGTCTGGCACGCTGACCCTAGGTCTTACACACAGTCCTGACGCTCGGAGGTCAGGGCACGAAGTCACCCCTGCCATCCCATTCCTGAAATGCTCCCTTTCGAGTGCTCTTCCACGCAGATGCAGTGGGCAGCTTGGCCTCTCTTGAACGTGGATCCTGTAAAGAGGTCACCCCGCTGAGATCACGTATGAGGAGCGCCTAGAGGTCAGAGCAGGATGGGCTGGGGGAGAGGGGCCGAGAGCAGATGCCCAGGGCCCTCAGGCACTCCTGGGCCAAGCTGGCACAGCAAGGTGGGCAGCACATTGTAGAACCAGCCGAGTGCCGTGGCACATGCCAGTGATCCCCCTGCTCCAGAGGTTGAGGCAGGAGGATGGCAAAAATACCGGGGTGTATAGCTCGGTGGCAGAGAGCACCTGGTTCAATCCCCCATCGTGGCCCGGGGAGGACTAGGGTTCACTGAGCCCCCTCAACTGGCGAACGGCGTCCTTCCGCCTGGGGAACGGGGCAGGAAGGGGCCCAGCACCGGTGGATTTCCGGCTAAGCCGAGGGCTGCCTGCAGCCAGCACCTATCCGTTCTGTCTCCGGTGTCACAGTCACTCCTACACCCCAAAAGGAGGGCCCCTCTCCCTTTCCAGGTCCAGCTCTGGCTCTGAGCCCCATCTGTGCGTCGCTCCCCCTGCACATCTGCTCATGCTCTCAGCAGGCCACCGCAGCACGTCCATCAGCAGGCGGACCCAGGAAGCATCCTGTTTCAGGACACTGGACCCCTGGCCAGCCCAGCGTGGGTCCCTTCGAGAGTCCTGCCCAGCTTCCAGGCACCCAGTGGCTCCACGCATCCCACTGAGGCCGGAGCTGCAGGAACACAGGAAGTCCAGTGGAGAAAACCTCTTCCCCCGCTTCCAGAGAGGACGATGACAAATGATCAGAAGGGAGAGGGAGCAGGCATAATCAAGGCTCCCACAGCGAGGCTCCTTGAACTGCCTGCCTGATTTAAGAACCAACGACTGGGAGAGTCCTCACAGCCAGGGAGGCGCTGCATGTCACCCACAACTGGCCGCCTCCTCCTGGGGCACCAGAGGCATGGGCAGCCGGCTCATCCATCAGTCCTGGCACATGGAAAACTGCC